CCCTTTTGTTACCACATTTGAACACACTTGGACCCTTGAAGTGACTATGAAAAACTAACTGGAAGAAACACTTCATTTTAACCCTGTTTATATGTTCATCTGCCACTACCAACTGAAGGTAAAATCAGATTTGCCTTGTCTGTTACATATTGGTCTTATCACATAAGAATAGTATTTGAATCCAAACCAAATTAATTTCTAACTAATTACCAAAGACATTCACCTTTTCTTCACTGCAATGTTTTAGGTCAGACCCTCACAGAATTATCTTGCAATTCTGTGCTCCAGACTACATATCTGCACAGGGAGCTATTTTGCTGGGACTGAATAGACACAATCAGGAATCGCACTGGTGACACATTACTCCAAATCCCTATGCTACAGACCCTGCCAAAAGTGGATCAAGCCATTATGAGTGTTCACCTTGCTGCTGCTGAGGCTTCTGCTGGGTTAATTCACCTGGCAGCATCAGAAGAGTAAGCTATTAGGCAGGGCTGCCTTGCAACATTCAAGCATTGGCCACTCAGCTGTATGGCTCTCTTAGTGCTGTCCAGTGACCATACTCTGCCCCTTTTTCTATTGTGAAGCATGAACAGGAGAAAATCATGTTGGAACAGTCAGCAGATGTGTTCAGCAGGACTGCAACAGCTGCTCTATGCAACAGCATTCTTTGAGCCACAGCACTGATATGAAAAAGGACCAGCATGAGTCATTCATTTTTGTTTGCTGTTTTTTTTAATACTAAAATTGTAACCTGATAATGAAGCAGTACAGTTATAGACTTTGCTCTTTCTTACAGCTCTGTGTGAAGTCTCCTGTTGTGACCCTCTTCATGAGTCTCACACCTAGGTAATATCTAAGTGGCTACCATGCAGTGGATGAAATGAGAAATACAATCTTTTAATGAGCACCTTTTAATCTTTTAATGATATATTTGTCATCATAATTATGTGGGTACATAACTGAAAATGTTAGGTTTATTTGTTGCCTTCAGGTGATCTACCACAAAAAAACCTTTTGAGAGATTTCCAAGTTTATATATGAGATTTAGGTATGTGAGAGAGAGATATCTGTAAGACAAATTATTTAAGAGTGTCATTTAAACCACTTTTTCTTAGAACAGAATCTTTCTACTCTCTGCAGTTAAAAAACATGAAAGGTTGCTCAGAGCAGCTGAACTATGTGAATCCTCCGGAGTCCTGTGTTATTGGCTTCCCAAGGCTCCCCAGATTCCAGATTCTCTTTTAGTCCACTGCAACGCTCAGCAACACATCTGTATATTCTTTACAAGGCACTGGACAAATATTCGAAAACAAAAGGCAATCCAAAGGTTAAAGTAAGGCAGTAAGAACACTGTTATATTTATAGGGGTTTTGTTGTTGCGGGTCTTGTCTTTTTTTTCTATAAGCTTCTGACTGTAATTATCAGTACTGAAAATTTTACATTATACTAATTTTTCCCATCTCAGCATGAAGAAATATGACTTTTTAATTGGCCCTACTGTTGGGTGTCAGACTAATTTAAGGGTTGCCAGCTTGTTTCACAGCTACGTACACGAGGAAATAAAAGCAGGTGTCAAGACAAACAGGTTGGCTTGACCAGCTATTCCTCTCCAGGGACAAGGCTGCCTACTAAATTAGCATAGGTATAAAATAATGTTTTACCTAAGTTGCCAAAATCTGAGATATGATTCTGTTATATAAAACACAGTCTCGCCCTTACCCTCCCACTCCATTTTCACAGCATATCAACATTTCTAACACATTTAGCATTACAAGTACTGTCATTTTAAGTGCAAAACCAGTTCTGTAGCCTTAAAGGTACATAGGCTCAGACTTTCCAGTACTAATAGGAGACACACTGGAGAGTATCTGCTGAAATGTAATAGGTGCATTGAAAAACACCGGGGCCCACTCTGTCTACCAAACACTACCTAACAAATAGTGGAAAATTTTGGTTGTTTTGACAAGACACACTACCAAACTCTCATCACATGTTATTTTAAAACCAATCTTAATTATAGTTACTGTGAACTACTGTACCCCACCTGCCATTATACACACACAGAAAACAAGGGACTGGTCTAGGACTGTCACAGGACTGTCTCTCAGTAAGCAACACGAGCCAGATGAATGACATTTTTCCTACTTTGAATACTCTTCTGTAGGTAACTTGACAGTTTTTCCTTACTGCATTTTTGTAACAAGGAGTTTCTGTGTCACAGACATATTTTCTTTCTTCAAGCCAGAGTAAAAAAATGTAAGCTCAGCTCTCTATTGCCAAACACAACAGATGTCAGAGTACAAACTTAGCACTGGCTGAAGCCACTGGCATTTTGTCTGGATAATATCGCAATGAATTCAGGCAACCAGATGTATCTGTCTGGCATTTGTGAACTGCTGTGTCAGTGGTGATGCCAGGGTTTAACACTGATCACTTCTAGAACTAGGTACAAGGGAGAAATACAGAGATGAAGTTTTAAAAAGCAGTCCTGAAATGACAAAGGTGTAAATTCTAAGCAGTCCTCGCAGGAGCAGAGGGTTAAGCAACACACAAAATCTTCCCTCAGTAACTTTAAATGTTAATAGTGAGATGTATCATTTGAAAGCAGATGCCAGAGTGCAGAGATGATTTCCCTTGTTAGAAGAATAATTTCTTTCAAGAGTTCAACCCACAGGGAGTGTTATCTTGACTCCCCAGGTTCCTTACTAACGCTGAAATTGCTCTTTTCTACCTACAAGGACACAACTGTGAGGATTTCGGCCACCTTGATGAGTTCCCGAGCTTGCTGCTTCTCAGATGAGAACTTTACAAAAACATTCCGTTTTTGAATGGTGAGATGCTTTTATATTGTTGCATTTTAAGACACAGGAGATTCCTACCTGGTATGTTTCTACGGGCTTTGTTTCCATGTTCAGATCCCAAACCTTGACAGTGAGGTAATCTCTTGTTAGCATGTATCTACCGCTGTGACTGAATTTGACATCTGACACTGAAGATATAATTTCTGAAAAAAATGATCTGTTGCTGGGGTCTTCTGGTTCTTCGTAAACTGTTCAAAGAAACAGAAGCAAGAGACAAATTAGAATTATATGAAAAAATGCTCTGTTGTACAACCTGAAGTGTGCATTTCTTGTGAAACACGTAATTCAATCTACCAAGGAACACGATACAGAACTAATTATATGCCCAGCACTTAATTTATTCTTTTACTTTATATAAAAATACAAACTGTAAGCTTTAAATACTATATTAATTAATGTTATAGCTATGGACTCAAAGCATCACTTTGGGAAATTATGTAAATACACCAGTCAGTTGACTACAGATACCTATAGCAAGGCAGTTCATCTATGGTTATCCTTTCTAGGATCCGCACATCCTGTTTCTTGATATTACCAAAATTCAGGCATCCCTGTCACATGAGAGGTGTACTTATGGTCCCACAACAGTCCTGGCATCCCTGGTAAGGTTGGTTACTCAAAGCCTGCCCTAGTTGCCAGAACCAGCTGGCCAGGCTGCAAAATACTCATCGGTCATATCTGAAGGCGCCTGAGACTAAACATGAGAATTTTAGAAAGCAATTGCAAAGTGCAATTACCTCTTCCTGGGAGGTGAGCAGAAAATAGACAGAGATTTACCACACAGATGCAGGAACTGTGTAATTGATGTGCAATTGCTGACAGTTCTGGAAAGCACTAAACTCCCTGACTGTTTGTGGTTCTTTGTGATGCAACAAGGAAGGAGATCGTGGAACACTGCTTATAGTACTGCCATACATGAAAATCCAGCTCTTGTAAGCTAGGAGATTGGTCATCCCTGTTCAACTGCACATGAAAATGATACTGGATGACTCTAACCCTGCCTACCAGGTTCCCAGAGTTCTGTTGTCTTTCTGCAGGCATCTGTGGCCCTGTGATTCAAACGACCTTATATGGGGAACTTTAGTAGAAAGTCAGACCTTCAGGGCCTTAGTTCTCAACCAAATCAGTAGGTTTTTGGGACCTATGCCTAAAATATTCTTTGAAAACTGTGATGGGACACAAAGCCACCTGAAAGTAGAACACTTTTTTACTGTCAGTCAGAATAAAGTTTTTTGTATAGTCCACTGGAACATTCCTCTCTCAATTAATTTATCTCTGACTATGATTCAGACTGTTGGAAGCAATGAGGTTAGTTTCCATCAGGGGAAATAATGTTCTGCTGAAAGCTAAGGGTGAGTACGTGGGTGAAGTATGTGGGGTAATGCAAAAAATTATGGGCAATTTTCTTTGGGGGTGGGCAGTGGAATGCAGCCAGGCATGCACATGGGAAGAAAGTCTATATTTAAACATGCACCACACATCTCAACTGTAATTAACTACCTCAAAAAGAGGGGAAAAAACTTTTCTTTTCAGACAGATTGTAAACGAACAACTTTAAATAGCTCTTTAAAAATTTGCCTAGACATTCTGCAAAGGCAGGTATTTTGTAATTATCCTGTCAGATTTTCAATAGAAGTCTGATGAGCAGAAAGCAATTATCATTTCTCATACCTCTTCCCTTTAATCTGTCCAAACTATGTACTTGGCTGGCAGGAATTTCATCCTCCTAATTATGATGTGAAGCTGCTATTAAAATCAGGAAAGAAAAAAACAAAACCCACACTAACTGAACTACACCTTCATTTATAGCTTAGATATATTTTCTTGGCTCTATGTGGCTTATCCAACTCCCAGTGATAAGAAGAGGAGTAATATTTGTACCTGGATACTCTATATTTTGTTAATTAATGAGATTAAACCATTTATTTCATCCTTTATCTGCCCTGTTTACTGCTTTTCTATCCTTACCATATTAAGTATTAGAAAGACTTAGATTAATTAACTGTGGAAACTAACAGAGGCATGAAAGCCTCATATCACTACAGAAAGAAAGATAGCAGTAAAAATGTTAGTGGCAGTAATTCTTTGCAGATAGTTCCTATAAGTGAGCATAACCAACACAGGAAAATTGCTACAGGAAATTAAGGAGCAGCTCCCAGTAAAAGGAGAGAAAGATTAGCAACTACCAACATCTGCCTGAGCAACAAGAACAAGGCATTAACCTCAGGAAATGAAGGTGAGAGATAGTGTTCATGGGACTTGGCTATTTCTGGTTTAGCATCAACATAAAGTTATGCACACACTGCAAAACAGCAGTCTTCATTCAGTTTGGCTAATATGAGCTGAATAATTGGAGACAGAACAGCAGTGACAGCCATGTGACTTGGACTTCAGTTAAGGAAAGCAATTCAAATTCAACCTTGGCCTCTCCAAGCTGATAGGAATAAAACAGGGATCTATCCCACTGTTTGCAAAAACAGGTTTTGACAGCCTGCACTGAAAACATATTTTCCATTCATTACAGTTCAGACCTATCTTTTGGAGGCCGCTCTTATGCCAGGGAGCAATCAGTGCCCAAAACACGAGACTTCAAACCTAGCTTGTTTTTCTGTAGCAAAATAAATCTTGCTAGACCAGGACTTGGAATCTGAACTTTACTGAGATACAACTACAGATTTGATTATACTCTTTGATCAATTTCTTCATTAATTTTAAATAACTAAAATTTGTCATTAAAAAGGGTATTTAACTTTCGTTAATATTGTTCTTGATAATGGTCACAGTGCTAATTATGTGAAAGATAAAGTTACTTGTCTAGCTACCTAATGAACACAGAAACCACAAATGGTGCGATGCGCTGAGCTTTCACATGACACTTGCTCAGACTTACATGTGACCTTGATGACAGGCCTCTAGAACAGAGAAACATCATGGGATTACAGAGAGAAGTGGAACATATTTCTGAGTACAGCCAATGTTTAAAGAGGAACCTCCAAGGAAGACACTGTTCCTGCCCCTTACCCTACTAGCAGATACACGGGTAAACTGAGAAGTCTGCCTATGGAAGTAAAAATTTTCCTTTCTGCATGGCTTCCTGCTCACAAGTTGAAAACTCCAGTAGCTTTTCACAGAAGTCCAGATTTTGTAGAGAAGGATGGGTTGGTTGAAGGATACTTGCCAGAGCACTGTTTTCCTGAATCCTGAAGAAAATCTGCAGCATAAAAATATGTTGCGTCCTTCTCAAAAGAAACTGCCATCTGCTGAGAAGCAAACTCTTATCTCTCATAAAGAACACTGTTTCCTTGTGTGTTCCTGGAATTTCTCTGATCTAAGGTACGCATGGAGACTTTCCTTAGAATCAATGGATAGGAAAGACATCTCTAATGTGTGCATTTATCATGCAGAAATAGATGCAGATATCTGAAGTTAAAAAAAAAAAAAGGCCAGGAACAGCAAGAGTGGGTGGGAAGGTCCATCTCACTCAGCTTCACTGGCCAAAAGAATGGAGATGCCTTGGGCAGTAGCTAAAAGAAGTGTGGTGCACACACTACTAATACCCTTGTGGTTCTCATTGAGCTGCACTCTGGGGGTCACAGGTGCTGCCACTGCAATATCCTATTAATATTGGCCTGATTCCACACACTTAAAAGTGATACACTTTGGACAAGATACATCCAATAAAGAAAACAAAAAACCAACCCCAAGTAATTTTCAAGTTCAATTCTAAACAAGTAGCTGGGCAGAGCTTTAATCATTGCAGGGTGTAAATTCTGGCATATGTGAACTTTAAAAAATATTAAAAATAATGCTAAAAATGTCTTATATGGTGGGTGCAGTCTCACAATCTGATATAGCATACAAAATCCTGCATTCCTCCCAAAATCATCACAAGACGGAGTATGCACGATTTTCTACATTACAGTATATGACCTTGGGTAATGCATTGGCTGAATTTTGAATATTCCTTCTGCTTCTCCTTTTTCTCTTACCTTCACTCTTTTGCCTGGATGAAATAAAAACACAAGCACTCACAGCACTGTCACAACACAGATGGTTCCAAAATACTAATACAAATAAAGTTTTTAATAAAAACACAAAGAAGAATTATCTATTTAAAGGGAAAGCAATACAGTATCTGAAATAAATGGGGCAGGAGTTAGGAAACCTACCTTTCTAATGCAGTGAAAGTTTATTTAGAGCTGCTTCTTATTATTGATCTGAATTTATAAGTATATAATGGATTGATGGGATGGAGGACATGCCAACTGTGTGCAGATACACAAAACTCTCACTGATTTTAAAAGACAGAAACGTAGGGTCTAAGCTTTGGCAAATTTTTTTATCATGGCCTGAGCATCTGGTCATGCAGATAACTGTATTTACTATGAATTATCAGTAAAAACTAAGAGAAACAAAGAACTAGTGAGGGAGAAGACAATGATAATGTTGTGTACTCCTTAAGGCATAAAGATATGAACCTTGGAAATTTCTGCTACTGATGACTAAAAGCAGAACTACAGATCAAACCAACTTTTTGCTACTACAAAGCTGAATATATTTAAAAAGGAAAAATAAGTTATGTTTATACATATTGCACATGTGATTATCTGGGGGGAAAAAACAAAGCAAGGCAAAACTTGAAGATGAATGTTTAACAGCTCCACAGATCTGGTGAGAAATACCATCAGTCACAGGATAAAATTATAGACAGCCTTAAAAAGTCATTCCCTCTACCTGAAAAAACCCTCCTATTTTCTTTCTACTTATGAACAAGTAATAACTTATTAAAGCATTTTTTTTTCCTAAAGGACAATGTTCATATTTTGTATCCTGTCCTCAGAACTTCTGTTTTTATAGTATTTAAGTGTTGTTACTTAGATTTAAATCCTTGGCAATTCTGCACCATGAAATTACTCTCTCTCCCTCAAAAGATAGCTAATGAATATACAAAATCATCCAGTTCCTGTTCAAGGGTCACAGCTAAAAATGGGTGAAGACAGTTTTGGTAACAGTGGAACAAGAGGCAGTGGGGTTAGTGAGGAGGGAGAGGACCATAGAAGCCAGGGCCAACAAAGATGCTGGAACAAGAGGGGGAGAATAATTTTCATTTTTATTATATAAGCAAGCAAACAGTCTGCAGCTAGGCTGAATTAAGAACTTATTACAGATTACACAAGTATACAAACAACAGGTGGAAATACTGATGGTGGATCGGGTAATCCTTCAGTGGGCTTTAAGGTTCATAAACACAGAAAAGAGCTGCAGTCCCAGGCCAACCAATTTATGCTTTAAACTAAGTCCCTATTTAATTCCAGATCCCGAATGCAAATGGCTGCAATTCCCAATTAAAATGTACTGGAAAACAGTACTTTGAAATGGAATTGGACCCATCTTGACTAGCCACAGTTACTTGCAAAAGGAACAAGAACCAATATAAAAGAACTTGATACATAAAAAATTTTAACCATTCTTTTTTTTCTGGAATACATGGTTATTCTACTTCAATGTTTCACACAAAACATGATCCTAAGCTAAAACTCTTACAAATTATTTAACTATAATATTTTTAGATGGCAAATTAGTACCATTCTCAGATCAGCTGTGATTTGCTCCATCACATATATTTCATCAAATTTAGTATAAAAAAGCTGAACTAAATTTCACTTGAACGCATATAAAAATACTAATCTTATTCTTTTTTTTAAAGCATATGACACTTGTTGCTATCCTTCAACACAGAAAGCCTTTTTTTGGTGCCAATTAATTCAGGATATGCTTACATCTTGAGCTAAGCGTAGTTCTGGACTTATCTCTAATGTGACAGAGATCTCAAGAAGACACAAAAATGGGCAATAAAAACGACCAGAAGTACAAAATTCCTTCCTTGCAGGGAATGACTAAATAGACTGGGGTCTCTCAGCCTAGGAAAGACTGAGGGGTTTGCAATAAAGAGTGGCATGGAAAGGATGAATAGGGAATGACAGTTCACTTTGTACACTGTCTCTTCCAATCGACAAGTAGGGGTCACCACATGAAACCAGGAAAGGGTAAGGAGAGAGCAGATGGTTCTTCATACCACGCCTAATTAAGCTACTAAAGACTTTATTGAAAGATATTGTGAATGGTAAAAAATATACTCAGATTTAAAGGTAACTGTAGAAATTAAAAAAAAACCCAAACCTGAACATCCATTTCAGTATTGTTAAACTCAGTAAATTCATTCTCACTAAAGTCCATGAAGCTCAAGTTTCCAACTGCATATTGCAGAGGCTAAAGATTATATATACACTTGCTCTGTTCATGTATTTTCTGTTGATGTTGCTACTGCCCACTACCAGAGCCAGAACAACTGGGCCAGAAGGACCAGGTTTAGTCACTAACATGCACTGTTTAAAATCTATTTTAGGATTTCATGCAAAAGAGTTCCTGAGTTCATTCTAAGTGAATAAATCCCAACTGCAAGTTCCCTTTGAAATTCATGGTCTCTTTATGCCTTTTAGCTTCATTATTCATGATAATAATTTGATTTACCAGCATTATTTACTCTATCTTTCACTAACTCCAAATGTTTTATTGTTTTCTATTAAGCCAATGCACTCATATATTCATCTCCTTCAGAAATTCTCTTTCAATAACAGAATTATCTGCTAATATGACAATCTTGTCTTCTTGGTCTACACTGATTAATATGATTATACACATGTGGGAATTTTTGAATGCACTTTCATAAGCAATGTAAAACACAATTACTTTGTAAGACACCTTTATTTAAAAATTTATATTACTGTAGCCTGTGGTTGCTTATCCTGTTTTAAACTGAAAAAGCAGAACCTTTTTACATTTCAATTTTCTGTTTGTTTTTATATAATTCATAGGGCACCTCTCTGTGCCCCGGTCACTTACACATCATTTTTCTTCTTTTACTCAGAGCAAATTTCTGAAGCTACCTCCTCACCACAAGACTGAAATTCCACCTACCACAAAGCATTCCTTTATCCAGTGACCCAATATTAAAACTAGGCTTCTCATCAATACCTCTAGAGAGCATGGCTTTTAAAAGTGGAGCCTCAAATCAATATTTAAGAATCTGTTTTACCATCTGCAGTGAGTTGCTGCAGCTTGTCGCAAACCACAAGGGACAGTGCATTAGTGCTGAAAGGCAAAGCCAGATCAATAGCTAAAGATCAGTGGGTGGGAGCTTCACTACAGAGTTGCTTAGATTAATGTAACTTTGCCAGTGAGTTTGTTAATAAAGAGAAATGGTGCTAAAGAGAGCAAGAAAGTGAAAAAAACCACAAGCACAATCTAGAAGATCAAGGCTCTTTAAACCTCGGTCTCACAAAGACTTACGTGCATATTTAATGTCACGTATTGTGAGCAATCCCGTGGAATTAATGGGACATAAAACTACTACTCCTCTACAGCCAAATTCATGCGTAAGCCTTCCTGATCTTGATATGTAAGATTAATGGTGAGTTTTTTCTCCCCCAGTGAAACAAAATCTTGAACGTTGGTTTCATGAGACATTGAAAAGCAGTATTTGTTGCTATTAAAAAAATTAAGCAAACAAGACAGGAATTTTAATAGACTGAATAATT